ATATGTATATGTATATGTATATGTATATGTATATGTATATGTATATGTATATGTATGTATATGTATATATATTAGATTTTTTACAACCCCTGGTAAGCCCCAATTATGGGAGGAAGCTAACTGCTTCCATCATCTGTCCTTCGGCTCGTCACAAGAGTCCATCACGACAGAAATCCAATATTTTTACTGTTGCCTTTGTTATATTTGTGTTTATATTTATATATCAGCACAAATAAAACACACACACACACACATACACACACACACACACATTTATACACACACAACACACACACACACACACACATACATACACATATATACATAACATAGAAAAGCAAATAAATAACCAAATTCAGACACAACCATTTCCTCTTTTATATGAATAAAAGTTTTATTGTTTTTTAGACAATTAGAAAGAAGAAAGAAAGAGGAGAGTGAACAGTAGAACCAGGAAGAGCTTTCTGAGCACTAGTTATAGGCTGCTGTAAGCAGCATCTCTTGAAAATGCCTCTTGTGTTTCCCGTTGTTAGAAAAGCGGAGAGGGAGAAACCGTGTTTAGGGGGAAAGGGGGGGGGTGTTGCGCACTACCTTAAAAAAAAAAGCCATTCTTCTTTCTTCTAAGCTATCCCCACTCCAGCAATGCCATCACGCAACTTCCAAATAATAAAAAAGGAGAAACCGGCAGTGAATAGGGGAGGAGAGATACTGCTCCCTAGGAAACATGTATAAGTACAGCAGCCATCTGTCTTCCTGGTGTGCTCTGAGGCTGACGGAGGCAAGTCCATTAGCAGTATTTTGGAGTGGGTGGAGGAGAAGGAAAGTAAGTGGGAAGGAGAGGTGTTTTTTTAAAAAAAACAAGCAAAAAAAGGCACGGCTAAGCTTTAAACCTAATTCAACCTAGAGGACTCTCTTCGTGATGGCATCTTATAGATGGTATATATGGCCTATGCAGAGAGCTCTCCCTAATGGCCTTAACGCCCATTTGGAAAGGGGGTGGGGGGAAGTGAAATTAGAGTTGAAGCAGAATGGGAGGTGAAAGAGCAGTTGAGATTCTCTAGGAACCTCATTTCCAGTGCAGTTTGGAAGGGAGCCAGTGGAAGAAGGCCTACCTAATTCCAGGCTTTGATCAGAAGGATATATTTTGTCAGTGCAGAGAAGGAAATCCTGTTAGGAACTCCCAAAGGAAGTTTATTTAAGACCAGTGTGTCAGTGATCAATGAGGCAGGTGCGGACAGCGGGACTCAAGAGATGCGTCCCTGGCTGTGCCTCCTCGAGGTATTCAGAAATGTATTCCCTTCCCACCTGATCCCAAGCTCCGTGTGAAACATGGAAGACTTTCTTTCCTTCCGAATTCTCCGTTGTTGTTAGTCAATTAAGGCTAATGAAATTACAAGAGTGACAAATGTCACCATGGGGCTACTATTTAGAGCAGACCACACGTCAACAAAAGAGAAAGGAGGGGCAATGTAGCCACAATCCATCTTTCTGCTGCTCTTAGATTTCTTGCTTTATTCCTCCCTCTATTCCTTTTTTCCTTCCCTCCCTAATATAATAAGTCCAAGATATCCTGTAGAGGAAGGGCTAAAATGAATGCTTTGAATGTGTGAATGGTCAAACTTATCAACCTGACCATGCAGGCCAGCCCCACACAGCCATATATGGGGACATGCCATGCAGATGCCGAAAGCTTTGGAAATCTAGCTCTTTTGAGAAATGCCAGCCACACATCCTAGAAAATACACAGCCAGTTCGGTTAAGCAACGGAGGCTTTAGCTTTCAACCCCACACCATGCCCTCCCCAAATCCCTCCTTTCAACAACAGCCAAACAACAGCAACAACAGCAGCAGCAGGCCAATCAGATGCCAAGCAGCCCTTCAGGGAACAAGGCCAAAATGACCAGAGTTGCCATGGAAGTGGCAAGGGATGTGAGAAGCATCCAGAAAACTAGTGCAAGGGGAGAGAAAAATTCAATTTGGAGAATGACAGGAAGCAGGAGAAGGGAGGAAGATAGAAATAAAGAACTCCTGAAAACTAATTAAATAAAATATAACTCTCAAGTCAATTGCCCTCCCTCCCACTTCTTTTGCCCCAGCTTATTTTTTTCCCCTCTGCTTTTTTACTTTGAGATCAGTAGTCACAGGCAGAATGTCACCAGTTCCTCCTCAACATCATCTGTTTCGAGCCAAGCAGCAATGGGCTAACCCCAGGGCAGCTGAGCTGCTCTACTGACCTCTGGACTTCATAAATTCCATAATAGAAATGTCGTATAGCAGAGCTTAGAAAGCAAGTATGGTCTCCTTCCCTTGATGCCTGAAATGGCCTCCTTTTGATCTTGGCACATACAGCCATAGCTGAGGAGCCCCTGAGATCATGAGGGTGGGGTAATAAAGGAGGGATCATCACATCAGTTGGGTTCAGTTGACTGGGGTAAGGGAAGAACACAGATCTTCCCCACCATCTGAGGGAGGAAGAGGAGAGTCTCTTATTGGGCCCATCTTCACTCCCACTTACTGTAACAAATTCGCAGAACCCACAACCCTTTTTTTACACCAAAGAACCCGCTCGGCTCTGTGCTGGTACCATTACAGGCACAGCACCTATCCTCTCCAGCGTCGCTTGGCTTACGGCGTAGGACCATGTGTGTTGGGGCCGTGGCTTCCGACTCACAGATCCATTACTCCTGGCCATCTCCTGTGGAGATGGAGCTGTATTGGTTGTCACTACCAATGTCTTCGGTGGAGGAGGTGCTGGGTGGCCTCCATTAGCATATATAGAACGGGCATTGGTGCTTCCAGAACGAGAGAAGGCCTGCCGTGCATCATTGTTGAGGTGAGTGAAGGAGTCTGTAGCATGGTTGGCTTTGGGGTCATTCCAGTATCGGCTGTTGTAAGTATTGGAGGAGGTGAGAGTGTCATTTTCAGATGAGGAAGCATCACCGTGGAAGGCTTTTGTGGACGAAGAACATTTGGGTGGCAAATCATCCTCCCTAAGAAAAAGAAAGACATAGCTACAATTCCCTTCACACCATTTCCTCAATATCCACCCTTTTCTAAGAAAACAAGAACACTTCCTCGCTTACTGACAAGCACACATGAAATAATTAACACTGATCAGCAAAAACAACAACACCCAATCAGTTCACTTCACATCAATTCCTGCTCAAATATACAAGCACGGACACCACAAATTTACGTTTTCTAATTTTTCGTGCCATATCATGGTTTCATTCTGTCAAGGTTGATATGCAGTGATAATGGACAAAAAGGCAGAAATTAGCCATGGTTACTATTTCTTATGTTGCTGCCATTAACTAGAATTAAAAGGAATTATTTTCTGTTAAGGAATGTATTGCTTGTTTTGACTGTCATGACTAATTAACAAACTATACTTCTCTTACCAGGAATATTGCATGTAACCCTCTTACTAACTTGTCAGAAAAGATGATGGATGAGACTTGCACTGCACTTATGCCTACTCCATTAATAACTGGCACTGCATCACCACACCATTACTAGCATTATAGGAATTAGGAATGAGAACCTTGTAAGCTAACATCTAATTTGGATTCATTACACTCAATTGAGAAGTTACTGTAATGTCTCTCTCTTGAAACCTGGAGACAATTTTGCTTGGAAGAAAGGGAAGAAATTTGGAAGGGCAGACAAAGTATTTTCCAAGGCCAAACCTTATCTCATTGGGAATCTCCTCCTCCTCTTCCTCCTTGTGTTTGTTTTTCCAATAAAAGAGTGTAACAGCCACCAAGACAATGCAGACAATAAGCACAACTGCCCCTGTTGCTGCAGCTCCGGCAATCAGACCAATATTCCGAGGATTAGCTGTGTGGGACATGGAACACATGCAAAATCTGAGTAGAAAGAACACATGAGCATGTTCAAAGAACCACAGCAGGCAGCAGGAAAGACCAGCTGTATTCCTAAGAGTAACCAAAAATCACAAAAAAGCATCCATGAATGAAAAGTTCAATGTAAGAAATCTGGCGCAGGATGAGTATGTGCTGGAAGTTGTCTTACATATTCTTGTAACTTGCGATATAACACTAGAGGTTATTAACATCTTCCCAACCTTTTGTCACACTAGAAATGTTTCCATATGCACATTTTGGAGTGGATTCTGGCATTCATCCAAAAAAGAGAGCTTTTAGCAAAGTGAAATTATTCCATGCAATCTGCACATAGCCAAAACAGCTTTAAACCCATTATGAATGTCTGAAGTCCTGGGACAAGGTGATATGGCAAATTATTAATTATACAGAGAATCTAACGTAGGATTGCTGTGTTTGTGTGAATTTTATTTTTTGCTCTCTTTTTTTAGAAAAGCAAACAACTTCACAAGCTTTGCTAATTTCTTCTTAAAGTGATAGAGCGTTAAAAAGCATAAATGCTCTGGATATCCACTCAGACAGCCTTAACTTCTTTTGTGTTCAACTGAATGACTGAATTTTGGGATACTTCCATGTATTTGACTATATTTGAGTTCAGCCATGGTAATGAGCATCCTTTCTGTTGCCAATATAGAATAGAGACAAAGTGTTATATGAACATCTTCACACCAAGGCTCTCCTTGGACTCTTATTTCTATCACAATTCTTGTTCTAACAAGTCAGATGCAATGAGGCACAGTGTGAATGAGGCTACCATAACTTCAATAGTTATTCAGTGATTACTGACAGACATCTCTCCTTCAGTTGTGATGCATTCAACAGGCATGAAAGGATCTTTCCTCTGCTGGAAACAGCCATATCTATTGACTATGACAATGCAAGTATTTATTTTGTTTCCTAGAACAAAATGTGTCAGTTTCTTTAAAACAATGCAGAAAAAAAGCATTTGATTTTGAAACAATGAAATGAGTTAAAACAGACATAGTTTTAGTAAGCTAAAATTTCCCCGGGTGCTTTTACCTTCCCCAAGGCCTCCAAAATACAGGAACGAGAATTTACACTTTTCTACCGTGCTGCAGTTATAATTTAGCATCCCAATAATATTGCCTTGGTGGTACAGTTATTATGTTTCTTTTTCTAAAATAACAGCTCTAAGATGCAATTTGGACTAGAGATGTGTGCAGAAAATAGACCTTCCTTGAAAAACTAAATCACTTATAGCTATTTGTAGAAAAAAAATAAAATTGTACAAGAAAATTATCATTCAGCCACATAATAGTTCATTTGTTCTAAATGTCTGGTGCAGTGAGAGAAAACCTTTCTCTAATGCTGACCTTCCTGTAAGAAAGGTCAGAGATGATCAGAACCAGCAAGATTAGGGATGTTAAAGAAATTTCCCACAGAATTTCTGTGAATTGGTAGAATCTACAAAAATAAGCTTTGCAGTAATATAAGCAGCAGCAGCGGACAGCAGAATCCAGTAGCATCCATCACTTAGGCGAAAATGGAAAAAAACAATAACCCCAAACAAGAACTTATATTTGGGAAAGTCTATGCAAAAGAGTGCATAAATACATATTTTAATGAACATAAGAGACATTCGTATTAAAAATCATATTACAGAAATGTAAGTTCATATATGAGAGATACAGTACATACTAGAGAAAGTTTATTTATACATGTTACCATCAGTGTAAGATATTAGTCATTTTATAGAATGTCTGGGTCAGTGATGGCTAACCTTTTTGTTGTCACGTGCCAAAAGCACTTGCTCATGTGCTTGACAGCACCCATAATGCAATACGCCACACACCCCGTACCCCGTTTTGGACCTAGCAGGCCTCCCTGCAGCCTCCTGGGAGAAAAAACAAGTTATGGGGGCGCACCATATCCCCGCGCCCCATTTTAGGCCTACTAGGCCTCACTTCAGCCTCCTGAGAGCAAAAATGGTCCACTGGGGGGGGGGATATGCCGCACCTCCCTACACCCCCTTTTGGGCCTAGTAGGCCTCCCTATAGCAAAAATGGGACATGGGGGGGGGGGTTGCCGCATCCCCTTCCCCCATGCATGCATGGTCTCCAACGCATGCATGCTTGTCTCCCGCATGTGCCCCACTCCTGTGCATGCGTGGCAGAAACCCGAAAATCAACTGGATGGCGGGAGGTGTGCGTGCATGCATAGTGGGGCTGAGCTGGGGTGATGGCTTGCGTGCCCACAGAGAAGGCTCTGAGTGCTACCTGTGGCATACGTGCCATAGGTTCACCATCACGGAAATCTAGGAAATCTATAGAATCTCAAAAATTGTAAAATGGGAAATACTTAATATTTCACACATTTACTAGACATTCTATGCAATGCCAAAAAGCAAACTGGAAAAGTATCAAATACTGCCGCTGAAATGCCATTCTAGCCTGCAACAAGTAGGTCAATATTGGACTTTTTCACATGTTTTTTTACGGTAAGAAAATCCTTTATTTTTTCATTTACTTTTGATTTTCATATATGTCTTCTCAATAAAGAGTTAGGGATAGGGTTAACTCTAATCCTAAACCTTTTCATGACTCTCTTTTCATACTTTGCCTGAATAGTTCCTATACTTCTGCATAATGCATAGGTCGGGGGGGGGGGCCAAACTCAAGGCCCGTAGGCCGAATCCAGCCCATTGGGTTCTTAGATCTGGCTTGCGGGACTGCTCTGGAAACAGCTAAGGACCGGCCCACCGTGCCTCTGCCAGCAAAAACAAAGCTTGGGAGCCCGTTTTCACTGGCAAAGCACTCGGGCCTCCACAGGAGCCCCTGAGATGATTGGTGTT